TTAACCGTATTGTTTGACACCATTTCAGGGACGATATCGCGGCCAAAATAGAGGCCGAGACCCGCATCAAAATGGATGCCATGAATAAGACGGTCGGAACGGCTAAAGACAAAGTGATTGAAGACCTGTTGTCGCGCGTCATCTGCGATGTGAAGCCACAGCTCCACCGGAATCTTAGACTCGCGGAACTCAAATGATTACGTCTATCGATATATGCATTACGAAGACATTCCGTGTTTGAGTTTTAATATGTTATACTTATAGTCAAGAAATTAATTCAATTTTAATGTTAAACACATTTATTCGTATAAAAAACATTTGGAAAAAGTCATTATACAGTGTTTAGTGCTTTTAATTTGATAGAAATTAAATACAAATAATTATAAATTCAATTATAATTTTTAGAGAAAAGTTATTGACATTTCGTGTGTGACTGTTATATCAAATTATTCAGACATTAATCAAGTCTTAAATTATAAGATATATATTATTTAACTATTAAAAGAAACAAATAAATAGCGAATCATTTGAATTTATAACTCGAATATAATTTTAAACATCTTTAATATCACAGCAAAGATATGAATGAAATCATTCGGAATAAAACTATATATATTATTTAACTATTAAAAGAAACAAATAAATAGCGAATCATTTGAATTTATAACTCGAATATAATTTTAAACATCTTTAATATCACAGCAAAGATATGAATGAAATCATTCGGAATAAAACTACAGGCAAAACTCTGTGCTGTGAATAGATCGGGTCCAGGACTTTTGGTTCATAACAAAGAGTTGTTCACAACATGGAGGTGGTTTTAACATTAAGTCTATGTGATGTATGTTTTGGTTTATGGTTCATAACATAGAGTAGTTCACAGCATAGAAGGTTCACAGCATAGAGTTCCCACTGTATTAACGAAATCAACTAATTATTACATAAAAAATTATATATCAACTAAATATGACGATTAGAACTAATATTTTGTTTTCTCATAAAAAGCTCTGTTTTGAATTGAATGACAAAAACAATGTATAGAAAAGAGAGTTGAAAGGAGTGTTAAGGCACAACAGTAATGAATTGATCGATGTTTGCCATCAGCACTGGGATAACCAAGTCATCCATATTAGGCATAACTAACACTTTGGCGAACTCTGCGCGCAGTTTTCGCTCAATTATATCCGTCACATGACTTATACTGACTTCGTGTTCGCCTAACTTGGGTCGGGCGGACAGGACTAGATCTGGATTGCCTCGAAAACCATTATATATTATTTAACTATTAAAAGAAACAAATAAATAGCGAATCATTTGAATTTATAACTCGAATATAATTTTAAACATCTTTAATATCACAGCAAAGATATGAATGAAATCATTCGGAATAAAACTATTAACGAAATCAACTAATTATTACATAAAAAATTATATATCAACTAAATTTGACGATTAGAACTAATATTTTGTTTTCTCATAAAAAGCTCAGTTTTGAATTGAATGACAAAAAACAATGTATAGAAAAGAGAGTTGAAAGGAGTTTTAAGGCACAACAGTAATGAATTGATCGATGTTTGCCATCAGCACTGGGATAACCAAGTCATCCATATTAGGCATAACCAACACTTTGGCGAACTCTGCGCGCAGTTTTCGCTCAATTATATCCGTCACATGACTTATACTGACTTCGTGTTCGCCTAACTTGGGTCGGGCGGACAGGACTAGATCTGGATTGCCTCGAAAACCATACCACAGACGATCCGTCGGCGGCTCCGGGATGTTGATCGCTGTCAACACATTACATAACACTCATTAATGCATTCCATAGTATTTATTACGTGATCAAAATAATGAATGGTTAGTAACAAACCTAATGTTCCGTTCAGTGTTTGTATTTGAACAGTGAGTATAAGCGCAGTCTTGGAGACGCCTTCCATCGCTCTCTTCACGTACTTATTTTCGGCCACTTTCTGGAAATACTGAGACGAAGCGATCTTATCGACAAAATTGATAATCTTTTGCTGCTTTTTCGTTGTGTCCACGTCTTCCGGATCGACCGGCGGCTTGTCCTCCATCTCCTCATCAGAACTGGTCATTATTGAGTCGCTCTCGTTGTCCGATATATCCAATTCGGATCTGTCGGCAAAGCTCTTCATCTCTTGGGATCCGTTCGCCTGATCTTTAAGTTTCATAAGATTTAGTTTCGTTTCCAAAGTCATTGTAAAACCGCCTGTCATTCAAACAAATAAGACAAAAATTATATATTTATGTAACAATTGAAACAGCGATGACTGCAACCACTGTTTTTACCGGAATATGTGATATCAAAGTCGACCCAAAGCCCTCTCTTGTCGACGATGGGAGGGTTGGGAACTGCGTTGAATTTGGGTAAAGTGTTTCCCACATCTATTTCGGTGATGGTTAACGACTCCATGAAATAGGGAAGCCTTAGGCGCCGCAGTTTGCGCTGTATTTTGGCGGCGATATAATTGGACCAAAACTGTTCGTTCAATATATCGAAACAAATGCGACCAATGAGTGCGTTAAACCACGACAGGGAAGACGACGCGCTGTTGTCTGACTTGTGAGCCATTAGTTTCTCCATAAATAAGTTATAGTCTAACGGTTTGGAAAGGATTAACAGCTCTCTTGAAGGGCTTGTGGGAGAGTTTGAGTTCGAAGAACATGTTGTAGCGCTTGGTATGGATCCGAGATCTAGTGAATGAGTTCGCGGAAGACTTGCGATTTCGGCTGATATCACGTCCGATGAAGTGATGGGCGTCGGAGGGGCCGACGCGCCCACCGATGGGTACAGATTCTGCTGTATCTTTTGTCTCAATTTCCAGAACCACTCCTCTTTCTCGCGACAGTTGCGGATAAATAACACTAATTTCACAATACTTTTAGTCTTAATGTCCTCTAATTCGAGACCCAACGGGTATTTCTTACTCCACACGTATTTCTTCTGATTTCGGACACTCTTAGGCAAAATGAGGTAAACTTTTTTGTGGCTTATTTTGGATAAATCAAAGAATCGTTGGGATATGAATACTGGCAATGAGTTTGAGTTTAGTTTCTGTTTCTTAATGTCGTGCTTAGGCTTTGAAAGTCTCAGATTTGAGTCTTGAAGGCGGAGGTAAATCATCTGAACTCTAAAACCGGAATCGCTTTCCCTATCTTCATAACTGCCGAGCGATTCGTAGACCCATCCCTTGTGTATCTCCTCATCGCGGGAAACATCACTCGACGACACATCTCTGGCAATGGTCTCCTTTTTGGTCGACTCACGCCTTGTGCTGGTCTTCACAACCATATATTTATTGAATATATAAACCATTGCAATACAAACTATAAGTATTGCGAAAACCACTCCAAACAGGAATCCCTGGAGATATGATGGAACCGGTAGTGACATCGTTATAATGAAAGCTATCACTGCTATAATAACGGCCACAATATTTAATATACGGCTATAAGTCCACGATTGCGACGATTCGTCCATATCTTTCCTGCGATTCAAATCGTTATCTTCTTCTTCTTCGGTGGATTCATTGGTGACAATCAAATCAGCGATCTTTGGCTTGTGTTCAGTCGTTTGTTCCGAATCGTGGTTTTGGGTGAAAGAGTAATCAACGGCCGACACAAACGATTCGTTCACATAATCGGCTGACATTTCGTTAATTTTGTGAGCACTGCTCTCATCCAGACTTTCATTCATTAAATTTTTAATTAATCGCTCTTTTGGTTGAGTATTGGTTTCCGACGATTTTGTGTCCATCGACTCGTTGCCCATCGATTGCCTCTCTTTCTCGCGTTTCCTTTCGTCGATCTTCTCTTTAATCTTGTCTCTGAACTCGTGATACCATTTGGAAGTACTGCCCGACTCTTTGCCGCTCTCGTCGTCAAAACTCTTGCCTCTGGAAGTGTTGAGTCGGGATGCGATATACTCTCTAACACCCCTGTGCTCACGACTGACAGACGCGCCACTCGTGTGACTGGCGTTCAAATCGCTTTCCACACTCGTGTCCACCGAACCAACGGTCGTGTCGGCGATCGCGGACTCCGTTATCTCCTCTTTGGTGTCATTCAAGTAATCGTTTGATTCGAGCACTTCTTCGAGCAGATCGTCGTCATTACGGCTGAACCGAAAGGTGGGAGTCTTTGTACGGATCTGTCGGGACATCACTCGCGAGTGTCCACTCAATTGTAAACAAAAATTTAACGATAATTTGTGGTTATATTTTGGTGAAGAGTTTTGTGACGAGTTTTCTCTATTAAAACAACAAATAATAAAAAAAACAATGAATCAAAAAATGGTTTGAAACAAATCTCATCCACTCTTCAGCTAATCATTTGTAAACAAAACAATTATCAGTATTTGGTCTTACATTTCGCACACATGGAGGACATGGTATGGATGTATAGATCTAGTGGTGATGTTTGGATCCGATGTCACATCAGATGATTCAATAAATGACTGGTAAATGACTTCCACTTTGTTTTGAACGCTTTATTTGCAGTTTTTGTTGATATTATGTAATCATTGCTCACATCGACTGCAATGCTTGTAATGCTTGTACTCTTCACTGCATTCACACATCCATACAGTCTATCACTCTATTCATAGCCAATCAATGCCTGTGTCTATACATGTCTATACAATAATTCCTATCAAATTATTTTATTTTTGTTAATAGTTTTTCTATTATTATTATAACGTATTAATCATTAATGTTATTATCAAATGATTATAATAATTACATTTAACGATAGAAATGGCTATATTTTCCTATTTCTAAAAATACAAATTAATACCGTATTACCTGGAATTTTATCTTAAATTCACTGGACAGCATAAATAATTTTTAGTATTTATTATTTAAATAATAGTTTGATGAATAAGTTAATAATTAATATTAAATTTAAAGAAATATTCCACAAAATCGTTTTTTTTCCTAACAATATACCAAAATCGGGAATTTTCCCAAAAAGTGCCAAAATCGGGAAAAATCGGGAAAATAAAACTTATATATTTTAAGGCTATTATGACCCCTAAAGCTAATAGTATGCAATTCCCGATGATTTTGTTAACTATTTTTCTTCGGGAATTCCCGAAATTTCGAAGCCTTAGTTATCATCATGAATATGATGGGCTCTCATCCAATCATCACACCCTTCGATCACCATATAATCATACGATATGAGTATATTCTACTCATTACCTGTTCATTACCTTTATGTCAATTATGCCTATTTAAGACTCGCTCTTTTCAATGTACATTCGCAGTTCTCTCTCACTCTTCGAAGTGATTACTTTTAATAAAGTTTTGTTGTTAATTGTATTAACGAAGTATACTTTTATTGTCCACTAATTGTGGGTACAATAGCTGGTGACCGCTCGAATCTACTCACTCAACACATTAGTTGAAAATTCTATATTTGTAGGCATTTAGTTATTTTTAAACACTGTTTGACAGGAAATGGTTAGAAATTAATTTTTAAAGCAAATATTTTCACTTTAAAGATTTATTGTTTCAGTAAAAGTTTACACATTTTATATGCAATATCAAATTTTTAAAAATATTTAAATATTTGTGGCCATTCTTAATGAAATGAAAAATTGGGCTAAAATCAGGCGATATTATCTAAATTATGATTGGGCATAAAACCTATGACTCTATTGCACAGTTTACATAGGAAACGCGAATCTAAACTGTATCTGGCCCAGTCCTAATCTAGATTGTATTGCACCCCTTTACTGATATGGACATTATATTGCATGCAATAAAATCCCCGACAATACGGTATATTTTATATCGATAATTCACTGCTTTTTTCCTCAACTATTTGTCCCGCTTTTCCTTAAACTTTATTCCCAAATATTTTATATATTAATCTGTATTTTGATATGTATTGGAGTTTAGAATAAACTTTGGTATAAAGACTATTAAAATTGAGAAATTTAATACTTTGTGCCAACAATTTGCTCAAAATTCAACATTTAATCGCAGACAACAAACTATTATATGATAATAGTTTGAATGACTGGCACACAGTCTGTCCGTAATGTCGGTGTTAGTGAAAAGCAGTTGTTATTCATGTATTATACAATATATTTGGCAAACAATGCATTTTTCCTTAATAATTGTGTCATTTTATTTAATTTTTCAATAATAATAGTATTTGTATTTCACGGAAAACAATCATTTTCCTGTTTTTATTTATTGTAGGCATTTTAAATAGTTTGCATTGATTGCATTATCGAGAAATTAGTCACAAGGCAACTCATATTTTCCAATATTAATTGTCCAACACATGTGAATATTGCACAGAATTTTACATTTGATTGAAAAACTATTATTATAATACCTCTCATAATAACTTGATACAATTTGGTAGTTTAACTTTATTTATTTATATAATGCAATAATACTTTGTAAATACCAATGCAATGCAAGAATAAAAGTTAACAATTATTTTTTGTTTTATGAGATATTTTTATTATGCTTTTTAAAAGTGACATTAGAAATGCTAATTAATAATTGTGTTAACAGTGAAACTTAACTATTATAATCTAATTTTAGATATAATATTAAATTACTATTGAATTTTGATAATTTGGAAACAATTTTGTATAAAAATAAATCATGACTAACTTCCAGCAATATCATCACATGATTGACATTTAGTTTTTAATAATATTAATTAATTAAATTTATAATTTTAATAAATTAGATTTTTATGTATTTATATTATAAATTATAATACAATTTTGTAATAATAATAAACAATTAAAAATCTATAATTTTGTATTTATACAATATATTATATCTTAAAGTTATTTTTAGTTGCATTTAATTTAATTTTAACCATGATAATTACTAGGATATAATTTAGAACTGATTAAAAATTATTTAAAACAAAGTTTGTGTAAAATTGTTTAAAAATAGACAAAATTAAAAAATAATCTTTTGTTCGTTGAGTAATTTGTTTTAACTACACAGTATTTATTAGCTTCAATTGAGCAAGTTATATTTCTAGCAACAAATTAAATTATATATTTTTTACTCAACTTATTTAAAATGTTTAATTTGTTCAAACTTTATATCATAGTATCATTGACTCAAATTCTGTAGCGATTATTGTCGTCCAAAACATATAAAATACTTCATTAATTTATAAATGCAATAAAATTTTAAGTTCACTCAAGTTCTTGATATAAAGATTTAATCCATTAAATTCTTGTCTAATGTTTTATGTATAGGAATACAAATAACATACTTATTGATTAGTTTGTACTAGTTATTAATAATAACTTATTATTGAAATTACTATAGACTCATAAATTTTGATATACATGTCATTCAAATGTTTGGTAATTTAATACAAATTCATTTAATAAATTATTATAAGAATAGATTTTTACAAATGATAACTATTAATAAAATCATTAACGATTGTTATATTTCTGGAAATGTAATGCTATTTTTTTTTATTAATATGGTATAAGTTAATTTACATACATTATAATTATACGGATAGTTATTGATTTATTAACCTTAAGATTCAGTAGTGTTTGCTATAAGAAGCACTTTCTTTGTTCAAATACTATGATATAAGAGATAATAAATTTGTGGTTTAATTAATATGAAAGTCATGATTCACAAGAGGAGAGTGTTTGTAAAGATCGTACAGATGTATGATCAGAAGAGATAGAAATAGTGTTGAACGCCGTATGGGTTATGGGTTTACCTGACGTTTACAAAGTGTGTGAAAACTTGAGACCAAGAAATTAGCCCAAAGGCAGGCTATTATGTGAAAGTTAGCGCAAGCGTTGCGAACAGTGTTTTTATTCTACAAACTCAGGACATTTAGGACAGGATTCAGAGATTGCGAGTCAGAGAGAGAAACTGAAACACAAGGAAAGTGAGAGACAGAGAGAGACCCTCCCTATCATAACAAGAGGAAAGAGAGGGAAGAAAGACATATAATAATATAACCTAATGATCTTCTCTGTCTGTACCCCTCTATCCGGTGCTAACAAATAAAAGTGTATGTATTTAATGGTCCAATCGTTTTGATTAGAGACAAAAAAGACTAAATTCAAGGACAGAACGCGAAAAAATAAAAACCAACTCAAATGATAGCATAATCTGAACCATTAATTGTTGTAAGCGATGGGCGATCCGCAGTTCCAGGAGTTCATTAAAGTCTTTGATCTCATGCCTCAACACATCAGAGCTCCTCAACAGTGTTACAGGTCTTACAATCACTTTATTTCTTCATTTTTTACCCATTTATTAGAATATTCTTTATTTTATTTTTTGTAATTAATATTTAAATATTTTTTAGTATTTACAGTGATTTTTCAAAATATTTTTGTTGTGTTTAAATTGATTGAATTACTAAATTTAAATATTGTTTTGTTTTTGTGGCGAAGACTGGTTCCGGACATTGACATCGATTTGATTGACTCACCAAAAGAAGCCAAAGAGACAATCAAAGAGACGGATATGAATTGCAAGAATGAAAACAATAATGCTTTTAATGCAAATTCTGATCATAAATGTATGTCTGAAAGGAAACGGCGAATATTGCCTCAAATTCCGAGCGATAAAAAGCGTGAGTTTTGGAAATCATAACCAATTGTTTGCCAAAAATATATTAATTTGTTTGTCATTTCATAGCATTTGAAGGTCTTTGGCAGATAGTGTCCAACACTAATGGCATTCCTCTTTCCGAAGAGCTATCGAACCCTCAAATGAAATCCTATTCACAGTCAGAGAAATGTCTTATACGTCAGGTCTCGACGAATATGTTTCTGGAAATCAAGACTGACTCAAACGATGGAAAACCCGTTTCGCTGAAACTCTTCAACACTCTTAGCACAAGTCTGTCTCCCGATGACGACGACTCGTCCTATAAGTATGGAAGCGATTCGGGAAATTCATCGGCGATGAGTCCCACCGACGACTCAATCACTTGTGCCAATGGAATCACTGCAAGAAAGGGAACCGAAAAACTCAAACCATTCCAAGTATTAGAGGCCACACATCGGGGTCTTTATAAATTCATTCCCCGGCATAACGACGAACTCGATATAGAAATCGGAGATCCCATTCATTTGCTCAAAGAAAACGACGACTTGTGGTGCGAAGGCTTTAATCTGAGAACTGGTCTCAAAGGCATCTTTCCATCCGCTTTGGTCACAGACGTCGAGTACTCAGAGTTTGTCGGAGAAACCAATTGCGACGACTCTTTGGCGAACGTTAGTCTCAAAGTGAAGAAAGAGAGATATTTGTTAGACTTCTTGGGATCGGTTGAAGTGACCGATCATAAGGGAAATCCAGTGTTATGTGAATCAGTTCGACGAGTATTGGACGCGAAGCCATCGGATTTTGGGATGAATACACCGTTTCCTTCTATACTAGAGATCAGCGATTTGGGACTCCGGATGATGGATAGCAAACCGGTCGCCAACGCGAGTAATGGCACTCTCTTAGGACACGACTACTTCTTTGCTCTAAAACACGTGACATTTTGCGGATTCTATCCGAAAGATAAGCGATATTTCGGTTTTATAACAAAACACCCGACAGAGGAGAGACTGGCCTGTCATGTGTTCAAAGGCAACGACTCTACCCGTGAAGTGGCCGAAGCGGTCGGCCGTGCGTTCCATAGGTTTTACAATCGATTTATTGAACTCTCATATCCTATCGAAGAATTTTATTTCGATTGAATCTATTGTTAAGATTTTATTTTTTGTGAAACGATTTAATTTTATTTCATTTGAAGTCAAAACTCATATAACGTGTATATAATATGCAAACATTTTGGCCATTATTTAAAAAAAAAAGACTATTGAAAGTTAATCTAACTTTGATCTCATTTACTTAAGACTTGAAAGAATATTACTATTAAATGCCATTTAAGTAAGAATTATATTTATTATTACAGTTATAAATTGACTGATTATTAAATCACAAGAGTGTAACACTTGTGGTAAAACCTATCAAGGTAAAATATTTAAATTGCTCTTTTATGCTAAATTATATTTGCCTATAATTTACATCAAATGTTTAAAATAAATAATTTAATTAATTTAAGTTATAAAATATATAAATATATAGTTTGAAATGTTTTGTTTAAACATTGATTTATTTAAAATGTTTAAATCTAAATTAAAATTAAATAAATAATTTTTTGATAAATTGGTTTAAATTTATTTATATTATATTTGCATAAGACATTTTTGACACAAACTGTGAAAAATTGCTATAAATATTTCAAAGTTAGGGAACGTTCACATATTACGTTCGCACTTTTTAAGAAATCTAGACCCCCTCCCCCCCTTATGTTCGCACTTTGTTCGCATGTAGTCATTTTTAAAAATAACGTTCGCATGTGTCT